CAGCTAAGGTGCTGTCGCTGCTGCTGCTGCTGCTGCCGCATCTGCTGTTGTTGCTACACTTGCTGCGCAGCAACTTCGTCCAAGCAATGCCTGCTGAGTCCGCCTCCCTCCTTTCCAGGGGTTGGTGTTCATGATCGTCGCTGCACACCAGGCTGATCTTCTCCTTGATTCCCGGCGAGTTGGTTCCCAGGCCAGTCGGCGTCTTGTGGGGCAAGCCACTGTCCGTATCATGGAACCCGTGGGCGCATAGGTCTGTGTAGACCACCCGAAATTCTCGTCTCCCCCTTGCGTTGGGTACTCGGCGCCCTCGGTCCATTCTCTGCTTGGCCAGCTTCTTTACGTCCAAATGCGCCTCTTTTCATTGGCCTGTTGCCAACGCTCTGGATCCTTCGTGAGCCAAGCGCACGGCCAGGAACTGGATATGATGCAGGGGTCATCCCTCAATGATCTCCTCTACCATCTTTCGATCTTTGCTCCTCTTTCGGTCTTCGCTTCTCTTTCGATTTTCGCTCCTCAGAACATTCCAGCCTCGGAGGTCATGCAGACCTGTGTCAGCATGGCCACTCCGTAGAAAATCCCCAACACAGTTCTGCATGGACAAGCCTAGCCTTTGGACCGCTTTGCAGATCCTCTGCTCCTGGTCCTGCATGTAGGACATGTTCTTCTCTCTGGCGCGTAGTCATGATCTTCCGCTTGTCATCCGGGTTGATGACGTAGAGGCCTTACTCGCATGGTTCTCCAACGCCTCGCCCATGTCCATGTCCGTAGTCCCTCACTCAACCTTGTCTCCTAGCTCGTAGGCAGGAAGGGATACGTCCTCCTTGTGTTGCGGTGCCCGACGAGCACCCCATAGCGTGGTTGGTACCCGCTCGTCCTCATAGTCCGGCTCGCGGTCTTCTTCTTCCTTGTCGCGCGCCCAAGTTGAACTGCTCGGCTCCTCCGGTTCGGGCGGGTGGCCATACCTCGGGTAGACTCCGGGGGGAAACTCTCCTTCCTCACTGGCCACCTCCGTTGTAGATGCTTTGCTACTTCCCGGCTCGCTCTGCGGATCATCCTCAAACTCAATCTTCCGGAAGTTATTCCGCATGAGCTCCTCCATCTGCAGTCTCCTTCTTCTTGCGCATGTAGGGCGGCGGTCTGCTCCACGCGGTCCTCATCGTTCACATGATTCCCGGGCTTGACAAAGATCCCGCGCAGGTTCTCCTTGCACTTGATAAGCTTGAGCGAGGTCCCGAGCGTCACGCCATAGCGCGTTCTGGCATGGAAGTCCGTGATGACCCCAAGTAGAGCTCGCGGATACCGCGCGTGTACCCTCCGATATCTTTGAAGCTCTTGCTCGCGGCGCTGGGCCATCCAAACTCCTCACCGTGGCGCTTCTGGGAATGGTCCGTCCGCACCTCGCCGTGGCAGCAGAGCCATGAAGCCTTCAGCAGTGAACTTGCTGTCTTCCTCACCCTTCGCGCATCTTGCTCCTTGAGGCAGCGGTATCCTGTCTGTCGGGACGATCCTGGACCATGTTGTCGAGGATCTCCTTGGCCTTGTCCCACTCCTCCAAAGTTCCACCATCGGCCTGCAAGATGTGAACGCTGTGGTTGTTGTTCGTGAGGTAGTCCCCTCACCCGGCACTGGTCGAGTCATGCCAGGTCGTCTGGGAGTCCTTTCACTTGCTCCGCACTTGCATATCCGAATGTAGACGTGGCCGTTGGCGCCACTCCAGGAAACATCTTGATGCTTGCAACCTCCTGGGGCGTTCCCTGGCTCGGACTTGTTCTTGTCCTCGAAAACCAGCTTCGCCTTCTTCTCCTTCAGCAACATCTTGCCGCAATTCTTGCAGCTCTTCATGTTGACGCGCCCTTTGGATCTCCCTGTCTACGAGGTAGCGGGGTCTGCAAATATGTAAGGGCACAGGAATGCCTCCAAGAACCCAACGCGGAATCTTGCGCGAAAAACGAAGAAGTTTCTTTTGCGAACTCCATCGCCGATCTTTCGCGGAGGGATTTAAACCAAAACGAATGGTCACCGAATACATAACTCATTGCAAGGACCTTTTGACCAACCCCCATTTACATACATACATACATACATACATACATACATAAGTTACATACATACATACATACATTCAATACATACTTACCTACATTACATACATACATACATACATACATACATACATACATACATACATACATACATACATACATACATACATACATACATACATACATACATACATACATTACATACATACATACATACATACATACATACATACATACATACATACATACATACATACATACATACATACATACATACATACATACATACATACATACATACATACATACATACATACATTACATACATACATACATACATACATACATACATACATACATACATACATATACATACATACATACATACATACATACATACATACATACATACATACATACATACATACATACATACATACATACATACATACATACATACATACATACATACATACATACATACATACATACATACATACATACATACATACATACATACATACATACATACATACATACATACATACATACATACATACATACATACATACATACATACATACATACATACATACATACACATACATACATACATACATACATACATACATACATACATACATACATACATACATACATACATACATACATACATACATACATACATACATACATACATACATACATACATACATACATACATACATACATACATACATACATACATACATACATACATACATACATACATACATACATACATACATACATACATACATACATACATTACATACATACATACATACATACATACATACATACATACATACATACATACATACATACATACATACATACATACATACATACATACATTACACACATTACATTACATTACATTACATTACATTACATTACATTACATTACATTACATTACATTACATTACATTACATTACATTACATTACTTTACATTACATTACATTACATTACATTACATTACATTACATTACATTACATTACATTACATTACATTACATTACATTACATTACATTACATTACATTACATTACATTACATACATACATACATACATACATACATACATACATACATACATACATAACATACATCACATTACATTACATTGCATAACATGACATTACCTTGCATTAGATAGATACATACACACATACATACATACATACGTACACTACAATACATACATTGCGATACTCATGGGGGCTGGGGGGGAGGAAGGGGAGGGGGCCCAAATAAGCCCTAAATAAGGCCTTAATAAGGGCTTACCTCCCTCCTCCCCAGCCCCCATGAGATACATAACATAACACAACATAACATACGTATAGTGCAAAACAGAACATAGCGTACCATAACACAACATAACATACGTACATTACAATACATAACAGAACATAGCATACCATAACATGACATAACATAACATGCGTACATTACAATACATACATTACAACACAATACCATACAGTACAATACAATACAAAACACAACAAAACATTACATACATACATACATACATACATACATACATTACATATATATATACAATACATTACATTACATTACATTACATTACATTACATTACATTACATTCAAACATACATAGATTATATACATACATACATACGCACATGCAAACATAACATGCCATAACATGACACAACATAACATGACACACCATGCATACATACATACATACATGCATACATACATACATTACGTTACGTTACGTTACGTTACATACATACATTACATACATACATACATACATACATACATACATATATACATACATACTTAAGTTACATTACATTACATACATACATACATACATACATACATTCTACATACATTACATACATACATACATAGATACATAGATAGATAAATAGATAGATACATACATACATACATGCATTACATACATGCATGCATACCTAACATAACATGACATAACATACCATGCATACATATACATACATACATACATACATACATACATACATACATACATACATACATACATACATACATACATACATACATACATACATACATACATACATACATACATACATACATACATACATACATACATACATACATACATACATACATACATACATACATACATACATACATACATACATACATACATACATACATACATACATACATACATACATACATACATACATACATACATACATACATACATACATACATACATACATACATACATACATACATACATACATACATACATACATACATACATACATACATACATACATACATACATACATACATACATACATACATACATACATACATACATACATACATACATACATACATACATACATACATACATTACATACATACATTACATTACATTACATTACATTACATTACATTACATTACATACATACATACATACATACATACATTACATACGTACATACAGGCGTACATACGTGCATACATACATACATACCTTCCAATCTGTATTGCGTTGCACTTCAAATCATCATGTTACATTACAACAAATTACATTACATTACATACACACATCACATATGTGCGTTCGCACACACGTACACATGTTTTCTTACATACATACATGCTCACATACTGCCATGCTTACATGCTCACATACTTGCAGGGTGCATGCATACATAGACATGGCACACATGCATACGCAAGAACGTGCTGGAAATACACGCAGACGGCGCTGGCTTACACACCATATAACCCAGAGAAATCGTGATCAGCATACCGATCTGCGCAGCTGCTTGTCCTGCTGGCCGTTCACAATTTGGCTCATACCTATGTAAGCTTGTTTTTGCGCAAAGTAATCGATGTCTCTTCGGCATGGCAAGAATGAGGCACGGACCCAGGAAGAGCTCACCGCCCTGACCCTCTGATTCAGAGGCTCGGCCTCGCAACACACATATGTTGTGTGCGGTCATGTCAGGCGGCCTCCGAGCCACGGACCACGAATTCCACAAAGAGCCCGCATGTGGTCCAAAGAACAAGTAAATAGCACCAGAACACCTGGACATGCAGGTGAAAAGAACACAGATTGAGCCGAAGCGAAGCGCATGATTTGCTGCTGGAGTTGCTGCAGCCTCTGGCGTCCATGGCAGCCCACGCCAAAGCCCTGGCTAAATGCAACGGCCCGCTTCAGCAATCTTGCGCATAATGGAAAACAGGGCATGCATTGACAGCAACGGGGCACTTAGTTGCATCATGCATTCGCCCCGTGTGGCGTTGCTCAACACTGCCCAGGCCTTGAGCACCGGGCGCACGTGTCCACAGGAAGAAGTCATGCCTTGAGGCCCACAAATTCGTCCAAATTCTTGTCAGGGTTTCTTTAGCATGGATGCTATTTCCGGCCCGCCAAAAAACTGCAACTTGACAGTGCAACCGCTACATTTTGTAACGGATGCCATCGACCGTCTGTGTTCAAACATCTATTCATGCCAACAAGCAAGCTTCATTCGAAAATGGGAACTGAGTCTAGGTGTCCACGGTGAGAATTGCAAAGCGCAACTTCGCGGGTTGGATTTCCGTCGTAGTTGTCGTCGTCATTAAAGTCTGCCTCCACTATTCGGTTTCTGGAGAGGCAGCCTACGGCTTGATTCTCAGGCGGGTATGTGGGAACGACCACGCCGATTGCACCATACACTCCACCAAAAATGACTCGCGTGCACTCTAGGCACTGGATACCGCTGTCAGGGCTTATGCTGCGGCATGTGGCCTTATCTTTGCCCTGGCCAAACTGCCGATGCTTCAAGAACGTTTCGAAGCCAGCACTGGTGTCACTACGAAACAGCCACACTTCAGCCTCAGTGCTACCCGAGCTCTCAGCATCTGGGTCTGATTGCAAGAAGCATTCCGTCCACGATTCTTCGGCTGTCGCTGTCGGAATCATTGGCGGTGGGGCAACCGCCACAGGACCACCAATGGATGCAAGCAATGCCGTCCTTTGCGACCTTTCCGCCGTGACAATCCCATTGCAAAAGCTCCTGCTGGGCATGCCTGGTCTGAGCAGCAAGGTCCAGGAAACTAATATGCACGTTTGGCAAACTCTCCGCCGAAGCCATGCTGGTTGGTCCATACTAGATGCCAGGCAATCATGCAACCTCAACCAAGCTTGAGCCCGTTGGCAAAACGCTGCGCTTGCCACTTCTCAGCTGCAACAACCATTGGTGATTCAACCAAGCCAGGGAACAAATGAAAGCAAGAAGCTGAGATTCAAACAAAGGCATCTGTAGCAAGTACACCTCCAGCGTATATCGTCCAAGACTGACCTCAATGTGCAGTGATTGCCCCCCTCTCGGGCAGACACTGAAGTTCACTGAAGCTCCAGCCAGAGTTTTGTGGGAAAGAAGGCGCGTGGCCAAAGTGTCTCCGTGGTGCGTGCCTGGCTGGTTGCTGCCCAGTCTGGCAAACTGAACTGCTGCCGCCACTGGCTCTAAATATCTAGCTTAACAAAAGGGTGGAAGCAAGGCACATGGCATGCTGAGAACTCGCCGGCAGCGCAATACAGAAACACGCACAAGAAAGGAGCTGACAAACGAGCAAACCTTGGTCAAAGAATGTTGAGATACGTCACCCGAAGGTCAGCAAGAAAATCGACAAACAATTGAGGCCGAATCAATTGCTCCCACGCAATATAGTGACCAGGCCTCAGTGGGTTTTATGCCGATTGCTTGGCAGCAATGGCCAACCATCAGCGCCTCCACTGGCTCGGTCCGGCCCAATCTGGTGGGGGCACAGGAACTGGAACCTGCAAACCCGTCCAAGCAGGGGCATATGTGCTTGTCCCGCAGCTGACCAGCATGCAAGCTAGCACTATGACGAGCATGGCGATGTCGCCGAACCATGCAACCTGACCATTACAGCAAAAATTACTCAGCGCCAGATCCCTGTCTGAAGGGGCCTGTTTGCTCGGAGGGTTGTGCCTAACCTGAATGGCAACCAGCCCGCCAAAAAGACAAAACAAAAAAACAGCGCATTCTTTTACACATGGGCCACTGAGGAACCCACCATGGCTGCCATGCATGCTCCCAACCTGGACGCCGATACTTCTTGCACGCCACCTACGCACGCACACGCACGTCAAACCACCCCACCTGCCCCACCCACCTGCCCCACCCACCTGCCCCACCCACCTGCCCCACCCACCTGCCCCACCCACCTGCCCCACCCACCTGACCCACCCACCTGACCCACCTGACCCACCCATCCACCCACCCACCCCACCCCACCCACCCCACCCCACCCACCCCACCCCACCCACCCCACCCCACCCACCCCACCCACCCACCCCACCCCACCCACCCACCCACCCCACCCCACCCACCCACACCTGCCCCACCCGCCCCACCCGCCCACCCACCCCACCCCACCCCACCCACCCCACCCCACCCCACCCCACCCCACCCCACCCACCCCACCCCACCCCACCCACCCACCCGCCCGCCCGCCCGCCCACCCGCGCGCACGCACGAACACTTGGAGAGCGAGGTTCGCTCGCAGGCAATTCATACCTACTCGACATGAGTGCAGAAAAACAGAAACATGACACGACAAAACGAATCGACAGGTCATAGGATCCATCATGCAATCAGGGAGTTCGCAGGTACGCGCAACCTGGCCAAGCTCGCATATCACTGGATCAAGCGGGCGTTTTGTTCGTAGATCGGCCGCTCCCCCCTGCATATTGGTAGGAGGTCAAAAGATTAAAGTAGCACGCACGATCCAGCACGTCCGTACACACACACACAAACGCACGCAAGCGCGCACACACACACACACAAAATAAAAAAAAAAAAAAAAAAAAAAAAAACGCGAGCGCGCACGCGCCCACGTACGCACGCTTGTCAGATTGCAAAATGAAGGCAGCAGCGAACTTTGGGTTCCAGCAGCATCTTCCAAGTGCGCATACATGGTGCCCAAGATCCCATTCGGCTTGACCTCCTCCCTACCCCCTTCCGGTAGGAATTTCCATAAGTTGTAGCTCTGCTAGGACCTGGTCGGGGCTGCTCTGGAAAAACGCCGGTTATCCCAAAGCACTGCACACAGCAGACGCTGAGACACGGCACAAAACATGGGCAATTAATCCCTTTATCACCTCCAGACATCAACACCGCTCAATTTCGATCTGGGCACGCCCCAGTCAAGAAACAAGCTGGGCGCCCAGCACAAAGTCAGGCATCAATGCTGGCGGCCAAAACCAAGTGAATGCCACCTGGCCCCAGTGCAGCCAGCTTTTCTGCACACACCTTGGGAGAACGAGGTGCTCCATGATTGACCGTGTAGCTGTTGGTGAACAGTCAGTTCTGGATACCGGGTGTGCGGCAAAATGCAAAGCCTGGAGGAAGCATAACGCGAGCTCGCAGCCCTGGTTCATTGCCATCTGACAATGATCGCCCACTTCCGAGCTGGCAGCTGTGGACCAATTGCAGCCGACCAGGAGGCAAGCGCCAAACACCTTGCATCATTGAACTATTTTGGGGCGTCTCGCCCTACTCATCCTGAGCAACTGGCAACTGAAACTTGGTGGAACTTCCCCTGCGACAGTCTGAGATTCAAAAACATCTTATTGCCACTGCCGCAACGCCGACCATACCATTTGTTTCTGCAGGTTGGCTAGCACTTTCTGCAACGACTGACCTCCGCGCCTGAGCAGGTACCCGACGCATGGATACACAAGCCTGGAATTCCACTAGCATAAGAAGCAACATGGCGCGGTGACTGAGCCAAACTGGCAGCCCGCTTCCTGACCCAGTAAGGCCAAGGAGCCAGCACGGAAGGAGGGATACAACAAACCAAGAAGGCATGTTCGGGCCTCAGGCACTTGCATGAGTGGCCTCACGATGCCCTCTGATTATGAATCTTTGCCATCAGATTTGCCATTGGCAGGAACTAAGTTGCCAGCAGTTTGGCATGGGATCAATCCACGTCTTCAGGAGCAGGAAGCAGCTGGCCAGGTTCCCACGAGAGCTCAATTTAGGCTAGATCCTAAATACATGGTCGCAAACGAAGCTGAAAGGCATGGCTCTTGAAGTAGGAATATTCATGGCATGCCTCAGCGTCTTCGTGGTCCAAACGTTGAAGCCACCCAATCTGCATGCAGCACAAGGAAGCGGATCCCAACCCACTTAACGAGCTAAGTCGCCAGCAACTGGGTCAAGACGCACAGCACCATGCCCACGTAGGTGGCCTCAGCGAAATTCCAGAAAGGCAAATTGTTGCGCAGGTATAAGGAACAGGACCAGGAGGCAGCGAAATATCCTCCGGATGAAGTATGCAATAAAGGACCCACTGGTCGAAGCAACATCCTTGCACGCCGTCCAGTGGGAACGTGGCATAGCTGTCTGTCAGCGCCTGGCCTTGTCACTATTGAGATAGTGCGTCAGAAAGCCGGACAAAAGGATAAAAAACTCCACACACACCTCAGTGTGAGCTCAATGCAAGGCTTCCTCTTTGCAAAGCTGTTGCGACATAGCTGCCCACAAGCTGAGGGGCGCGCATCAACTCCTCGCATGCCAGCCAAGCACACGGAACTGTTCCATGGACACCACTTGCTTACTGCTTAGGTTTGCCGAACGCGCACACAAGTTGCCAGAATGCAACCCTGGCAGTTGGCGCAGCAATGCCTGAGCTTCCAGCGCACCATCATGGCATCCAAGCACGACTTTGGTTCGCGAGGGGCCATGTGATGGCACCTGATGCAATGGGTGCGTTCTGGATATGTGTGATTGCCTGTCCTGAGCCAAGTGCACAATCCACATGGCAAAAATTGCGCGAGCTCCATCGAAGTGAAGCCTTGCTAGCCGCATGACAAAGAGTTTTGGCACTGGATGGTGGAAAGGCGGCCTATCACAGTATATGCCTTGGCGGTTTCCTTGGGTTTAATTTTCGGCTGGCGCCGCAAGCTGTTTGTGAACGCGGCTTGCAAACAAAGACATGCCTTGTGCGGCCCAGACGTTAGAGGAACAAAAACTACCCGCAACCTTATCACCACCTTACGCCGAAAAGGAAGAGGAAGAAGAAGCAGGAGACGAAGAGAAAGCCAAAGCGAAAGCGACAGCGGAAGAGGAAGAGAAAGAAGGAATAGAGAGAGAGAGAGAGAGAAGCAAGAAAGAGAAAGTGGAAGAGAGAGAGGAAACGAAGCGGAAGCAAAACGGGAAAGAGGAACAGGAAGAGAAAGAGAAGAAGAGAAAGAGAAAGAGAAAGAAACAGAGAGAGAGAGAGAGAGAGAGAGAGAGAGAGAGAGAGAGAGGGGGACGGCCTGGGCGCACACAGCCAATCCCAACCAGCGCCCCCCACTGGACGAATCTGGGGTTCGGGGTTGGGACCCAAGCGCGCGTCGTGATCCTGTCTTGAAGAACGGAGTCCTGGGCAAGGCCTCCGCCATTGTAGCCGGCATAAGAATGAAGGCGCATCGGATAGCTGTGGCCAGGGCACCTGCGGGAGATGTACAGAGGTAGCGGACGAAAGGGCCAGTTTCAAAAGGGCCTCAAGATATCTCAAGATATCTCCAAGTGCGACGTCTCTGCACTTGTCGCTGCGCAGGCGCTGACCTTACCCAGTCTTCGTGCTTGACATTGGTGCTGTTTCGGGCTGTGTGCTTGTCGGCGAGGAAGTTTCGGGCCGCACTGGCAGCACAAATGGAGAAATGGACGAGGGAAAAAGGGCGGCTTGCCAAAGCCTCAGTGAGTTCGGGGGAAAGTAAACAAGTAAAGCAAGAACACCATAGGATGTGCATAAAGAAACAAAGCAAGAGAAAGAGACAGAAAGAGTCAACAAGAGAAAATGAAGCGGGGAAGAAGCACGCTCCAAACTATTGTCTAAGAACTTTGAAACTTCCGCGCGCGCCCCCCCCCCCATCCCGCTCTGCCGGACTTTGCTGGTATGGACACTCAATTCTTTGAGTTGCCAGTGCCCTCAAAGGCCACAAGCCTTGCCTGAAAGGCCAACCTACTTCAGTAGTCAAGTCTTCCTGGCAGGCCAGGCAATACACAAGCGTCCTTCCTACTTTTGGCGGGGTTGGCAGGGTTGGTGGTAGCTGAACGGCAAGTTGGTCATCCCACTGCGTTGGCAATTGACAACGCGCTCTATATAGTTGGACTTTTCGTACCATCTGGAATCTTTTTATTATTAATCATATATTCATCAAATATAATATGTTCTTAGTTTGTATTTCTTAGATGAAGATATGATTAATAATAAAAAAAAAAACAGATTCCAGATGTTACGAAAGGAATGTGAATGAGTCTATAAGCAGGAATCAGTAACAGGGCACTACCCGAATTGACGTTTAAATTCCAAGAAAGAAACTGAAGCAAAAGCAGTCCACAAGGTTAGGCTTCTGCGCGCTGAGCTGAATCGAACCGAACACTTGCATTGCAAAACGGCCGGCAGGGCCGGTATGAATTTACATGCACAAGGCCCAAACTGTGTCCAATGCACCGTCACTGCATCGGATCGGTGACAAACATTGGGTCCTGTAGGCTTAGGAAATGAGTGGAAAGCGGGCACCGAATGCCAGAGCCAAGTTCACGAGCCTCTAAACTCACGAGAATCTCCCGTGGCCCCAAAAAGCTTGCGAAGGAATGTTGACTTGGCGAGCCCGTGCATGCGTACAATGTATAAGGGCAGCTGGTGGCAGAGAAGGGTAGAGTAGAAATCGCTTTTGAAGATGGCCAGGCTGCTTTCATTCCACAAATGCAAGGTTCCGTGTTCCTGCGTATGGTAGCACAACTTACACTGAGTATGCATGCTTGACCCTTTTGTTGATTCTACTGTTTCTTCCCCTGCATTCCACCTGTGGATCATAGTTTGGCGGCTGCTGAGAATGGCAAGGGTCTAGAAAGCGTTTTGTTCTCTGTGCTTTTGGGTGGGTTCTGCCTGCCGGCTGGTGCCCTTTATGTTCCGTACTCTTTCAGTATTTGTTTGATATCCAGGTGTGCTTTTTCAGCCGCATCCACTTTTCGACGGACTGGACAGGGTTTACGCTACCGGGGTCCCAGTTTCTGATGGATGTGTGGGGATGCGGGTTTTCCAAAGTACGTGTTTTTGTTGGCTCCCTGGCCCACTCTCTGAAGTTTCCAAACTTAACTTTGGGAGACCGTCGCAGTTTGGTTTGGGCGGGCCATCGAGTCACTCGATCGGAAGCAAGACGTACAAAGGGGAAGCCAACTTGAGGGAACTGGGCACCCTAAACCCGAGTAAGTCAGATTAGTATTGACCCCAAATCAAGTAACAACTCGCTTGACCTTTTGACCTTCTGGTTCCCTTTTTTGGCCTATTTTCGTCAAGGGCCAAAGAAGGCTAACCTTAACACTTTGTTGATTTTGATTGGGGGGCGTCCCCTTTTACTGGGGATTCCTCACATTTGAAGGGAACTCTCAGGAATCGGACGGATTTTTTTCCGGGGTCAACAATGTTCCGCCCAAAAGCAAGCGTTCGGAACCTGAGAAGGGCACCCTGGTGATCATTTTCCCGGGTCCCTCTTGGTTCCATGTTCAGGGGTCCACTTTTTGACCATAGACTTAACCCAGGGGTTCTCCTTTTGGGGGGTGGATTTGGGTCTGCCCTAGTCAAAAGTGGAACCCTGTTCCATGTTTGCTTTTGGGAGAGCTGATCCTTGGGGATCAATAGAAGAATCCCACCTACCCACTCACCCACCCAAAAACGAAGAAAACAAACTACCTCCCATGCCTCCAGAATTCCAAGGGTGGCCCTTCTATCCAACTCCATTGGTTGACACAGGCTATGTCATGCCAGAGCAGGCTGACGAGCTTACCTTCGGGGTTTGGATGAACTTGGCGGACCTTCGGCGGTAAACCCAACTTCCGAACTTGGGACCCTTGCAGAAAGCGACCCAACCTGGATGTGTGTCAACATGTGAAGCCATCGGGTGTGACCCCAAAGGTCCTGGTTCAAGACAAATGAGCCATCAAAACAACGGTAGATGAAGGTTAGGGATAGTCCCAACCATCCTTAATTCCTTGCACGGTTCAAGGTACACCATGTTGATACCAGGTTTTGATCGTGACTCAATTTGCTTCGCTTTTTCCATTGAGCCCACAAATTTGATCGACCTTTTGCTCAGAGGGAAGGGGGCACGCCCCTCGTTTGGGAATCTTATGGGATTGGACAGCCTTGGCTCACTTGCAGAACGCCTTGCTCACAGGGGGGTCCCTGGTCTTCCCTTTTGGTGGTTTGAAGCATCTCCTGTTTGGCCCATTTAAGGTACTCATTGCTCATGCGCCAGCTTCCTTCGCTTTGCACGTTCCTCTAAAGGCAAAAGTTTCTTCGAAGCTCTCGCTCTTGACATGGCCGTGTTGCCAAAAATGGAATTTGCAAACAGGCTGGTTCATTTGTTGCAAAGCGGTATATGTGCTGATGCTTGCGTTGCGCCTCTGGTGTGGACACTTCAAAGAGCGCACAGCTCGGGCCGCGCAGGTGTCCCAAGCGGCCGGCGCGGCACCAACAGCAAAGCTGGGCAAAGCTAAGCAGCGCAGCCAGCTCTGGAGGAGTTCAGGAAGCTTAACGATCCCCACACTCAACTCCCTTGGGTTTTCCCCCACCAGAGCAGCTGCTGGGTCACAATCAGCCTGAAGCTTAAGAATCTTAATAAGAGCTAAGCAGCTACACGCCACCCCACACGCTGAGTGTCAGCGTGCCTCCTGATGCCTACAAGACAAAAGCCGTCCGCAACCTGAGCTTCACACAATCTGCTTGGCACCTGCCAGTCACCACCCGCACATGCGAGCACCCTGCCGTATGGTCTCAGGCAAAGCCTTGGCTGCGGGCTGCGGCTCGCTCCTGGCAAGGTGTGTGATACATGCCTGCCAGCTTCGCCAGATCTGCCAAACAAGCAATGTGCTTTCACTTCCTGAACAGAAGGCGTTTCCTACCTGATTGAACAGCAAGCTAGTTCAACACTCACTTCTCTTAATTAGTCCTTGATTCCATGCCGCCGCCGATTCTTGCACCATGAGGCAAGGCTATCTGCAAAGCATGGTGCAAGTTGCGCGCCGTCACCAAGATAATAATCGTGTGTAGCAATAACTTAAGATCATTGCTGTTATCCTCACCGTCATCATAGCAAAGTCATTGTAGTCGTCATCATCACCACCATCATCACTGCTGTTGATGACACTCAGCACCATGTCAACTTGCATTTTCTAGAAAGAATGCCGGCTGGTAGCAACATAGCCTCCTCATGATGCATTTAGAAAACAGCAGAAGTAAATTCGCGCCGACTGTGACAGCGCCGCGAAAAATACACTTGTACACCAGGGTTCTGGAGCCCCTCTTCGCAGGTCACGAAGGTGGATCTCTCGGCTGTTGCCCTCTTAAACTACTGCAAGGCTTATTCTTGGATGTTGAAGCGGGGTCAGCCCCAACCTTGCCGCTGCAAACAATTGTTTAGAATCGACGGCCTTGGCTGAGCATGGCTAGTTGATACACTCCTTGCTCGACTTTTTCAGGAATTCTGGCACAGCGCTGCTCTGTTGCACGATGCTGCGACAAACGCGCAGCTCAAGGCATCTCTGCCTGGCGTGATCGGAAAAGCAGCAAGACAGAAGCAGCATGCGCCAAGAGCAAAATGGCCGCATGGCACTGCGGTTTCCTGCCTTGGCATGAGTCTTACGCTCTAAACTTCCAGAACGCTTACCAACCAGCGACCTTGGGAACGCAACAGCGCCTGCAGCGAAACCTAATCAGCCTCAAACCACGTGTCTGAACCACAGCTCCAAACAAAACACTACGTGACAAGCTGCATAGTAGTTCCTCGGCTGCCCGGCAAACCAATGATTTGCGCTCGCCCGTGCTGCGCTGTCGGTTGTTTCAAGCTCATCTGGGTCAAAGCCGAAGGCCTTCTTTGCCTACTTTCTTGGAAACATCCAGGAGGTGCAAAAACCTTCACTTGTTCGACGTTCTTCCTGTTTCTGGAAACCAATTTCACAGCCCAACAGGAGGGGCCTCAGCAAGGCAGGTTTTGCATCATAAGAGCAAGCCGATAAACAGTCACAGTATAATTTCATGCGGAAAAGCACGTGAGCAAGCGAAAAGATGAGGTGCAAGGGCCACAGCAACGGACAATTGCAGAACAACCGTGCAAAACTAATCATTCGTGAGCACACCGGAATTGTGAGCAACATGCCAGGATTCTGCCAAAGCTCTTAAAGAATCTGCCTCGCAGCAGCCATGTGCAATCCTTCAAATGGCTGAACACGGGGTCCAGCACACGAGCTGCCCCATCCTGAGCGCTTGATTTAGCATGGAGCGCATCGTGATATCCAACGCATACACCACATGCCATCAACGCCACTCTGAACAGTCCTCCTCATCTAGGGGAGGCCCGACCCATGTCTCGTGCGTGGCAGCCACTGAGCCCACACCTCCAGGCGCCATGTCCGTCACCCAGCCAGTGTCAACCTGATCCACCGAGACGCAAGTGATAGCCAGGTAATGCTGGCCGCGTTGTTTTCGCCCAAGTGACAAGTGTAGCTTTCACTGCAGGCTTCTTACATGTCGAAATTACTGTTTTTGGATGCCTATGCTGCGCCAACCGTGATTGCACAAATCTCGATGCGAGATATCGCATCGCTTCCTGCATTGCCAGCTTTCTTATCCGAATTAAGCTGCTGGCACAATTCATCAGAATGCGCCGTCGAAACATGTCCTGGCCCAATGGCGAGCAAGCCGAGTTCAAGTTCATTCTTGCTTGCCAAGCAGTCCTTGCATGAGGTGTGCGTCATCATGTTGAGAGCTGCTTTGGCCATGTTTGTGTGGGGGTGACCTGGACTCTTGTTCTTCACCGAGAACTTTCCTTCCAGCGCACCTCGAAATTCGCAAAGCACATTTCGCTCACCCTGTCGCAATGCTGCCCGAAGCACTGACATTGACCACATGCCCGTATGCTTCTGAAGCCTCTTTAGGCCCCAGCACCTGCAAAGCAAAGAGGAAACTTGCTTTCGATACGGCAAAACTGCACGCGCTTCAGATGCCCCAAATCAAACGAGACACGTTGGCAAGCTTGCTGCACATGATGAACGGAGCCGCTGTATTTGCGGCCAAGGTTTGCAGCAGCTCCACCGTGGAAACCTTGCATACCAATTGCATACTAGATGCATCGTGCACAGCGGGGCAGCAAGCGGTTTCAAGGTTATGCAACAACGTGCGCTAAGCTCAAGCATGCAGAAAAGCTGCCACATGGACCAGCTGAGATAGGTTGCTGAAGCCACAAGAAGATACACAAAGCAAAGCCAAAATAGTGCTTCGCAGCCGCGGCACTTCTTCCAGACGCCTGGACCTCGGCTTGGCTTTACCGTTATTCCTGCAAGAAGTGCTGCGGAGCCACGGGACAAGGACAATGCGCGACTTAAATTTTGCTGATTATCGACATGGCGCCAGCTGTTGACTGACGAGAGGTCCAAGGGCTGAAGGGATTCGTCAAGTTCTCCTTCTGGAAAGTCCTGCCAAGGTGCCCCTATATATATATATCCCCTCTGTCACAACACAAGGGGAGGCTGATCTGCATAGTCCTTCAAAACAGCCGCCTCTTTCCACAAAGCCTCGGAAGCAGCAAGCAATAGCAAGCAGCGATGTGCGCAACATGTAGCGGACTAGCCCACTACTCGACTCTGAGTTGCCCTGCTGCATTGGCTTGTGGAAGTGGCACGACTTCTTTTGACTGCGCAGGTTGGGCCGCTATCGCGGCAACCTGCTCTGGCGGCCGAATAGCAGCCTGGGCTGCAAGCTTTCCCCTGGGAAAAGAGCCAGCCAAGCCAGCTTGTCAAAACAAAAACGTCTGAAACGACTCACGTCAGGAGGCGTGGGATGCAGAAGGCAACTGTGATGCCTCGGCTCATGTCACCCACTACCTTGCCATCTACTTCAGCTGGCAACTTCACAAACGCTGTGGGTAAGCCTCCAGCAGCCTGGGTTTCAAGCTTGGCCATCCTGATATTCCAGCCTTCTCGCCGCGTTAAAGTTTGAGCCGCATTGTTGATGAGGACCTGCCAAAATGCCCGCTCGGCTGGCTCCCAAAGCAAGATAGGTAAAGCAATGATACCGCGTCTGAGCGGCGTGGATTCGTGGAAAGCGACGTGCAAGTTGCTCGCAGAAGCGCTCCACCAGCCGCAAGTCACAAAGCTCCAGTGGTCCACAGATCTGGTGCCAACAGCTTGACTGTCAAACGCTTGGTACTTGATGCCATGCCTCCCTGCGGTTGCCCATGTGTTCTTACACGTGCCAGATTGTTTGAAAAAAGCTGTCCGGCATCTGCTCTTTCGGCAGCCCACAGTGCCCTTCAGGTAATCAATGACGCTGCTGGGAAAAAGCGAAAGCACACAAATTAGACACTCTGATTGAGGTTTATTCTGCGGCCATGGTATTCGCACACGTGCCCAAACAAGTGCCTCCAACCGATGTCGCCAAACTTCGTAATCGCTCTCCTGTGAGAATCTCAGAGCACCTTACATTCACACAGCCACGCAAGCGACTACTGGTTTGGGTGCACAATTTTCACTTTGAGCAACATCAGCTGAGTTGCAATCGTTTGGGTAACGAGTGGTTGTCAGCACGAACGCGCCAGCCCTGAGTAATTTAAGAACCTCGAGTTGAAGCAAATAACAGCATTCTTTGTCACATCATGCCAACGAAGCGAGGCCGCTCAGGCTTGGACAATCCTGAAGCCAATGCGCACCCGTCCGCCTGTGACCACCTCTGCACACGTGCAGAAACAAGTTGTATAGGTGTCTCTGCTTTTAACTGGCAGACTAGCAGCTTTGCGTGCTGCTGTTTTGTTGCTGCTTTTTTAATACGGTGGCTTTGCGCTTCGGAAACAAAAGACTACAACTGTTGTGCTGGGGCAAAGGCGCAAACCATGCCGCTCATGTCAGCACTTTGGTGGCGCTTCTCCCAATTGTGTTCAGCACATCTCGGGCAAAGCTGATGATAGAAGTGGTGGTGATCGATGTATTCGCCTGCAGCTTGCAGGATTTACAAGCAGAAGCACCACACATTCCTTGTCGCCATTCCATGGCTTGTAGCGACACAGCCTCTACACATATTGCAGTTTGAGTAGAGGCTGTCCACAGGAGTGTTGGCCATTCCTCATGCACAGGCGGCCAAAATTGGCCCTGGAATCTGAAGGCTGATAACCAACCATCCACAGCTGCAACCAGATCTATTCTGTGTCAAGGCCATCAGCTTGCGTTGTCTGTCAGACTGTTGGCGCCAACGTGGAGTGCCCTCTTACCTTCTTAACCCGAAGTGCGAAAGGACAACTCGCGCTTCAGGTTGCAACCAAGGGTCTGTCAACATCAGCTGCCCGTGGCTCAGCACCTTCAAGACACGACCGACACAACTCATATCTTTTGACTCGGAGGCTGTGCCGGACTCACTCTGAAATGTCTAGTTTCTGAACGTTGGACATCTCTTTACACTATGACAGACGTGCACATATGCATATGCAAATGTATATATATACTTATACATACAGTATGCATACATAATAACTGCACATATATATGTATATGTCTTAAAAAAGATATATATGTATAATACCAGTAGAGCCGGCGAAGCTGGTGGGCGGAAGTTTCCAAAATATAAAAACGATAGTGCTCTTTCTCTTTCTTTTCTTGAGTATTTTTCTCTTTTTCCTCCTTTTCATTGTGTCTTTTTTCTCCGTCATTCTTCCTTTCTTCCTTTCTTTCCTTCCTTCCTCCCTTCTTTCCTTCTTTCTATCTGTCTTTTCTTTTGTCTCTTCGCTGTCTATCTATCTGTCTATTTGTCTATCTGTCTTTCTCTACCTATCTATCTACCTAACTACCTATCTATCTATCTATCTCTCGTGTTAGCTATCTATCTGCATATCTATCTATCAATCTCTCTATCTATCTTCTCTATTTATCTATCTATCTATCTGTCTCTTTATCTCTCTATCTATATATCTACCTATCTCTCTATCTCTCCTATCTTTCTTTCTATTTCTCTATCCATCTACCTATCTATCTCTCTATCTATCTCTCTCTCTCTCTCTATCTCTCTCTCTCTATCTCTCTACGTATTTATCCATTTATTTCTCTATCTATCTATCTATCTATGTGTCTATCTATCTTCTGTTTGTCTATCTAGTTATTTGTTTATCTCTCTATCTATCTCTCTATCTCTCTTTCTTTCTATTTATCTATCTTTCTATCTCTCTTTCTTTCTTTCTTTCTATCTCTCTATCTCTCTCTCTCTCTCTCTCTCTCTCTCCATCTATCTCCCGCGCATCTATCTCTCTATCTATCTATCTATCTATCTATATATCTATCTATCTATCTGTCTCTCTATCTGTCTATCTCTCTATCTATCTATCTATCTATCTCTCTCTCTATCTCTCTATGTATCCCTTTATCTACCTATCTATCTATCTCTCTCTCTCTATCTGTCTATCTCTTTATCTATCTATCCATTTATATGTCTATCTCTCTATCTCTCGTGTATTTGTCCATCTCTGTATCTCTCAATCTACCTTTCTTTCCATGTCTCTATCAATCCATCTTTCCATCTGTCTCTCTATCTCTTTCCCTCTTTCCCTATCTATCTATGTACGTCTCTATCTATCTATCTATCGATTTATCTATTTATTTCTTTATCCATCTACCTATTTTCTTATCTATCTATCTCTCTATCTCCCCTTCTATCTATTTATTTATCTCTCTCTCTCTCTATTTATTGGTCTATCTATCTATCTGTTTGTTTATCTATCTATCTATTTATCTATCTCTGCATCTGTCTCTCTATCTATCTATCTATTTATCCCTTTATCTACTTATCCATCTATTTATCTATCTTTCTATCTCTCTCTTTATCTCTATCTATCTATCTATCTATCTATCCCTTTTTCTCTATCAGTTTATCTATCTCTTTATCTTTCTATCTCTCTATCTCTGTCTATCTATCTATCTCGCTCTCTGTCTCTATCTATCTGTTTTTTCTCTCTCTCTCTCTCTATTATCTACCTATCTCTCTCTCTATCTCTCTTTCTATCTCTCTCTCTATCTGTCTATCGATGTATCTATATCTGCACTTAAAAGTTGCGCTTTTCAAGCCCCGAAAGTTGACTTCGCGTAGTACTTTTGTACTTAACAGTTGCGATTGGACTTCACGGAATACTTTGGTACTTAAGTCGTGATTTTCCAGCAGCTGCGTTCACGTACTACTTCCGTACTTAAAAGTTGCGATTTTGAAGACCCAGCTGCGAAAGTTGACTTCGCGTACTACTTTCGTACTTAAAAGTTGCAGTTCTCGCAAGTGGACTTTACGTACTACTTTCGTACTTAACTTAAAAGTTGCGATTGTCAAGCCCCAGCTGCGAAAGTGGACTTCGCGTACTACTTTCGTATAAAAAGTTTCGATTTTCGAGCCCCAGCTGCGAAAGTGGAGTTCGCGTACTACTTTCGTACTTAAAAGTTGCGATTTTCGAGCCCCGGCTGCGAAAGTGTGACTTCGCGTACTACTTTCGTATTTAAAATTTGCGATTTTCAAGCCCCAGCTGCGAAAGTGGACTTCACGTACTACTTTCGTACTTAAAAGTTGCGATTTTCGAGCCCCGGCTGCGAAAGTTCACTTCGCGAAAGTGCTGCGCGTGCCACGAAATCTTTACTTGACCTTGCGAAAGTGCTGCGACTGCCACTGCCACGAACTCTGCACTTGACCTTGCGAAAGTGCTGCGCCTGCCACGAATTATGCACTTGACCTTGCGAAAGTGCTGCACCTGCCACGAATTATGTACGTGACCTTGCGAAAGTGCTGCGCCTGCCACGAAATCTGCACCTGACCTGTCGAAAGTGCTGCGCCTGCCACGAATTCTGTACTTGACCTTGCGAAAGTGCTGCGCCTGCCTTTCGAAAGTGCTGCGCCTGCCACGAAATATGCACCTCACCTTTCGAAAGTGCTGCGCCTGCCACGCAATGCAAACCTAGGGAGACCTTGACCTTGCGAAAATGCTGCGCCTGCCACGCCATGTGCACCCGACCTTGCCAAAAAGCTGCGCCTGCCACGCAATTCAACCTTGCGAAACCACTGTGCTGCCGTGCCAATGGGCCCGGCGCCGAACGTGATCCGAGCATGCTCCAAGCCCGCTCCGACCAGACGCCTCGAACAGGCTAGCTTTCGCAACTCCGGAGACGTCAATTCACGGACAGGGATACGCTTTTTGCGACTTTCTTATCTTCGAAAACGCCGACTCACGCACAGGGCCACGCTTTTTACGACTTTCTCTTCCCCTGCCACGCGCGCGCGCATTTGTTCTCGATCCATCTCTCTCTCTCTCTCTCTCTCTTTCTTTCTCTCTCTCTCTCTCTCTCTCTCTCTCCCGTTAAAATCGGTGGTTACTTTGCTTACAAGTGCAAGTGTTGTATTGTTCAAACAAACAGTCAACCGATTGTTGTCTGCAGCAATCCACCTTTTACACATGCGATGTAGTGTTGGCAGTAGTGATGAAAGCCATTGTTGTTCATCAATTCTACTGTAGTGAAAAAGTAGTAACCTGCACTCAATAGTTCTCGCTGTTCAGGTTCCAGCTCGATGTAGTGCGCTGGACGGAAGTAGTGAGGCAGGCACTTGTTGTTGTAGTAGAGCATGTGCTCAAAGATGTAGTCCCCAGTTCTGGGTGCGGTAGTCTTGGACCTTCTGTAGTCGACTGTCCAAGGTCGCAAAGTAGTTCGTAGTGAAAAAGGTTGTCATGTAATTTGGTGCTCCTCGTAGTCGCTCATCGTCGATCTCGGGACATGACATGTGTTGGCTGTAGTCCCTGAGGTAGCGGTGTAGTAGTGCCCTGTGGTGTTGTGTGAGGTTTGTCATGGTGAGTAGTGTAAATCCGTAGTACTGGATACTCTTGCAGAGGATTGTAGTGATTGCCTTGTGTTGGTAGTCGTGGAGTTGGTCTCTGTTGTAGAGGTAATGGAGTAGTTCAGGTAGTAGTAGTGGCATGTGGTAGTTCCAAAGATAGTTGTTCCTGAGGCTGTAGTTGTCGGTGAAGATGGTCATGTTGTAGTTCACCTTGTAGATGGTCTGTGGCAGTGTTGTAGTTGGGAGGTAGTAGTTCTGTTGTACCGACATCATGTAGGAAATGTAGTCTCTGGTGGAGTGGATAAATTGTCCTGAAGTGAGGTGCCTCAGGAGTAGTTGTTGTTCAATCTGCAGTTGAATGATGACGTAGTTGTTGTTGCCGCCGGTTGTAGTGTGAAGGGAAGTCGTATGGTAGTAGTGCACGTTGGCTGCTTCAGGTAGTGAAACGCTGAGCAGGGTGGAGTTGTAGTGGGGCATCCGAAGGGATGCAGTAGATGGGTTGTGTGTAGTCCAGTTGTGCAAGTGGAGTTGCTTGTTGATGTGAAAGTAGTTGATACTCTTCGAGTGTGAGTGCAGTGAAAAACTGTGTGTAGGCTGTGTTGTCGGGCAGTGGTGGTGTAGTGGTTGTCTGGTGCTCAGTGATGTGTAGTTGGTCCATCACTGTGGTCGGGTTGTAGTAGACTGTGTTGCCAGGTGTGGGATGGTTGAAGTGGTAGTTGGAGTCGTTGTAGGCTTGAGGTGGTGGAGTTCCATGGTCACTGGAGTCCGTAGGGACAGCCACCTCCGGTGTAGACGCCCTGCCGGGTGTAGTCGCATCTCCCATTGTAGCGTCTGCAGTAGATGGAGCGGCCATGGCTGCAGTGGAGTGCAAATGTAGTGAAACGGGGCAAAACAAAATGAGCCTGAGTAGTTGCTATCAGGCAGGCGGCGCATGCAGACATGTAAACAAACAACTGTAGTGTTGACTCAGCCGCCAAAGTGCAAGTGCAAATACATGTAGTTACTGTTACTTACATACCAAAAAGTGTCGTGTTACATGTAGCTACTTACATACATGAAATGTCCAAAGTCGTTGTTGTTGTTGTGAAACTGCTGCGCTGGTCGTTCGTAGTGCTAAATGTGTATTCCAATGCTCTGGATGAGCCTGTGTAGTGTTTCTTTGCTGATGTATTTGGTAAACAAATCTGCGCTGTTGTGGAGTGTGTTGATCTTAAGGAGTCTGATGATGTCATGCTTGATGAGGTCTTGTGTGTAGAGAAATTTAAGGTCGATGTGTTTTGCTCGTTTGCTAGTGCCTTGTCGTGTAGCAATGCTCTTGCCTGCTGTGGAGTCTGTGTGGATGCGTAGGTTTAGCTTGCTGCAAATGTTGGTTTCAAGTAGGAAGTTTCTGCGGTGTAGTCCCTCATTAACTCCTGCAAGTAGCGTAGTAGATGTTTGACTCTCTTTTGTGAAAGTTCTGTAGGTGCTGTGAGGTCTCGTGCTAGTTCTTTTGTGGAGTATGCAAT